ATAGAGCCATGATGTCAAACTGGCGACTTCGTGTGAATGTATAAAGCCAGGATGTCAAACTGGTAACTTCGTGTGAATGTATAGAGCCAGAATGTCTAACTGGTGACTTCGTGTGAATGTATAGAGCCAGGATATCAAACTGGTGACTTCGTGTGAATGTATAGAGCCAGAATGTCTAACTGGTGACTTCGTGTGAATGTATAGAGACAGAATGTCTAACTGGTGACTTCGTGTGAATGTATAGAGACAGGATATCAAACTGGTGACTTCGTGTGAATGTATAGAGACAGGATATCAAACTGTTGACTTCGTGCAACTGTCTGGAGCCATGTTTTGTATAAATGCATGAAGCCAGGATGTCTAATTGGCAACATTGTATGACTGTATAAAGCCTGGATGTCAAACTGGTGACTTCGTGTGAATGTATAGAGCTAGGATGTCAAACTGGCGACTTCGTGTGAATGTATAGAGCCAGGATGTCAAACTGGTGACTTCGTGTGAATGTATAGAGCCAGGATGTCAAACTGGCGACTTCGTGTGATGTATAGAGCCAGAATGTCTAACTGGTAACTTCGTGTGATTATAGAGCCAGAATGTCAAACTGGTGACTTCGTGTGAATGTATAGAGCCAGGATATCAAACTGGTGACTTCGTGTGAATGTATAGAGCCAGGATGTCAAACTGGTGACTTCGTGTGAATGTATAGAGCCAGGATATCAAACTGGTGACTTCGTGTGAATGTATAGAGCCAGAATGTTTAACTGGTGACTTCGTGTGAATGTTTAGAGACAGGATATCAAACTGGTGACTTCGTGTGAATGTATAGAGACAGGATATCAAACTGTTGACTTCGTGCAACTGTCTGGAGCCATGTTTTGTATGAATGCATGAAGCCAGGATGTCTAACTGGCAACATCGTATGACTGTATAAAGCCTGGATGTCAAACTGGTGACTTCGTGTGAATGTATAGAGCTAGGATGTCAAACTGGCGACTTCGTGTGAATGTATAAAACCAGGATGTCAAACTTGTGACTTCGTGTGAATGTATAGAGCCAGGATGTCAAACTGGTGACTTCGTGTGAATGTATAGAGCCAGGATGTCAAACTGGCGACTTCGTGTGAATGTATAGAGCCAGGATGTCAAACTTGTGACTTCGTGTGAATGTATAGAGCCAGGATGTCAAACTTGTGACTTCGTGTGAATGTATAAAGCCAGGATGTCAAACTGGTGACTTCGTGTGAATGTATAGAGCCAGGATGTCAAACTGGTGACTTCGTGTGAATGTATAGAGCCAGGATGTCTAACTGGTGACTTCGTGTGATGTATAGAGCCAGGATGTCTAACTGGTGACTTCGTGTGAATGTATAGAGCCAGGATGTCTAACTGGTGACTTCGTGTGAATGTATAGAGCCAGGATGTCAAACTGGCGACTTCGTGTGAATGTATAGAGCCAGGATGTCAAACTTGTGACTTCGTGTGAATGTATAGAGCCAGGATGTCAAACTGGTGACTTCGTGTGAATGTATAGAGCCAGGATGTCAAACTGGTGACTTCGTGTGAATGTATAGAGCCAGGATGTCTAACTGGTGACTTCGTGTGAATGTATAGAGCCAGGATGTCTAACTGGTGACTTCGTGTGATGTATAGAGACAGGATGTCTAACTGGTGACTTCGTGTGAATGTATAGAGCCAAGATGTCTAACTGGTGACTTCGTGTGATGTATAGAGCCAGAATGTCTAACTGGTGACTTCGTGTGAATGTATAGAGCCAGGATATCAAACTGGTGACTTCGTGTGAATGTATAGAGCCAGGATGTCTAACTGGTGACTTCGTGTGAATGTATAGAGCCAGGATATCAAACTGGTGACTTCGTGTGAATGTATAGAGCCAGGATGTCTAACTGGTGACTTCGTGTGAATGTATAGAGCCAGGATGTCTAACTGGTGACTTCGTGTGAATGTATAGAGACAGGATGTCTAACTGGTGACTTCGTGTGAATGTATAGAGCCAGGATGTCTAACTGGTGACTTCGTGTGAATGTATAGAGCCAGGATATCAAACTGGTGACTTCGTGTGAATGTATAGAGCCAGAATGTCAAACTGGCGACTTCGTGTGACTGCGTAGAGCCAGGATGTCTAGCTGATGACATATACAAGAAAGAGAGAGTGAGTGAGAGAGAGAGAGAGAGAGAGAGAGAGAGAGAGAGAGAGAGAGAGAGAGAGAGAGAGAGAGATTCCAATGTAGCCAGTTCAAAGTACACACACACATGCAACGCACATAAAACAACACAAATTTCTATTAATAAACACAATATAGAAAGATAATTACATTTAAATACATTTATTCAGACTCAAAAAAAAAAAAACCGCATAATATACGTACACACACACACACATCTCTCTCTCTCTCTCTCTCTATATATATATATATATATATATATATATATATATATATATATATATATATATATACTTACATATACACACATACGCACACACAAAATGTACAACTATATGTAAATAAAGACACATAGAACATGGTGACAACATGACAACAAATGTCATCCATATATCATCACCGTTACATGAATGCAATGAAATAATAAGGAATGTTAGAAAGATGAAGATCCAAATATAATGCTTTATTCCTTGTAAATTGTGAATTTTTGAAGTAGTCACGACAGAGAAAGATTAATTCTATTTTCGTGCCACGGCAGGTAGGTGTACAAGAAAGTGAACAAGCTGATAGGTTTGCACGTATGGCTACCATGGATGATAAACAAGCGAGACCAGGCTGATGTGCTGAATTTTCTATGAGAAGTAAGACATTTAAGAGAACCAAGCTTTGACTGAATCTGCAACCATCCTCAGACAGCAAGACCAGCTAGTTAATGGGAGTGTTGGCAAGAGCACTGTGAGATATGACCATTTAAAACTAAATAGTTCCATCTAAATCAGGATGTTCTGTCGACTAACTATACAATAATTAAACAGAAAAGGTATTGATCGACACTCATAGAATGATGTAAAAGATAGAAGGATCTACTAGACAACATACAAATCAAACTCTATAGTTACCGTGTCGGGAATCAAATATGTCACCTACAAATGTCGAATGTGCCTCCTTGTTTAAACAAGTGTAGTAAGTGCATTACAAACTAGGTACCAACTAACTAACTAACTAATTAAAATCATCATATCCTACTGCAAGCAAGATCTTTCTTATTCTATCTATTATATTTGGCATTTTACACACAACCACACACACACATACAAAAATACATACCTACATACAAACAAAAAACATACATGCATAAATAAAAACACACACACATACACACACACGCACGCACGCACGCACGCACGCACGCACGCACGCACGCACGCACGCACGCACGCACGCACGCACGCACGCACGCACGCACGAACATACACACACACACACACACACACATACATACATACATACATACATACATACATACATACATACATACATACATACATACATACATACATACATACATACATACATACATACATACATACATACATACATACATACATACATACATACATACATACATACATACATACATACATACATACATACATACATACATACATACATACATACATACATACATACATACATACATACATACATACATACATACATACATACATACATACATACATACATTAATATATATTTGTTTGTGTGTGGGCTGCATGTATACGGATACTCCAGCCCGGATGTCCAGTCTCTAGTTAAACACTGGACATTGTGGCCAGTTTCTTTTTAACATGTCAGTTTGAACATATAGTATTAGGTCCGATCTTTAGGCTGATGTTTAAAAAGATGACCAGTCTGTCTAGGTATGTTACCTATTGGTCAAACTTTTAGTCCATCTAGCTTGTTGGTTTGCTTGGAGGCAGACTGTTGGTATGCTAGTCAGCTTGAAACCGGACATTTAGCATGTCACTCTTGTGCGCACACAGACTTAGTGGTCAGTACGTAACTGGACATTGTAAAAAGATCAAGACACAAGTAGCTCATCACTCTGAGAACAGAGAAAGAGAACCAAAAATCAAAACAAAAAATACTTCGAGGTGAACGGAACACATCAACTGACCGTTAAATTTTGACCTACTCAACGCTTCAGATCATGCTTCGCAATATTGAAACTGGCCTCATGTACGCAGAGTGGATTCCATCGTGGTGTCTCTGTACTAGAAATTCAGGTGTCCGAGGTAACGAGCAGGCTGATAGAGTAGCTGCTGCCCCACTCTGGGTTGTGAGCTGCTTTATGATAAAGTAGATGTGGTAAAGGCTCTATGCCAAAAGATGGATAAAGCAACAGAACAGAGAATCCGTACACAAAAGACTAATTCAACGGGAGATGAATAGAGATTCTTTAAGACATTCAATACTGAGGGCGAAACATAGGCGGACTTAATCAGGTTGCAACTGGCACCATTAGCCTGTCGATTCTTCGCTGGCTGCTGAAGCAGGGGACGTAACACTTGTGGGGATGTTCTGAGTGCAATGATGTCATTTAATTCATTCATTAATTCTGTTTTCTACACTCGTCCATTCCCGGGTATTTAGCACGTTGTCTTGTTGTTTATAGTCAGACATCTAAGCTTTTCGGTCCAAACACACCCGCTGTCGGCAAGCTCAAATTGGTAGCCCTTTACTTAACGGTTGTTAGGGTGCAGCAGGTTTATTATAAACCCCGGCCCCCAACTACCCAACTGGTCTTAGAAGCCAATGGAGACCGAAGACCTTATTCAGTTGATACCAAAGTCAACAGGACCCGGTCACCTTCACAGAGAATCACCGCAGACGCAGTCTTTCAATAACTGTACTGTCCACACAATAGAGACTGCCTTCAGTGAGTGACTGTTGTCTTTGAGAATATTACATAGCGAAGCTGCCGCAGCCTTTTCCACAAAAGCTTTGCATCTCTCAGATCCTTCCTGTCTGCTCCCAATCATGTTCTGGAGCCCCGAGTCCGGCGACTACCGCGTCTTCCACTGGTTCTGTACATGCACAAGAGACAGGTGACGACCAGCACCATCAAGCCCAGCACTGCGTAGACTGCAACGATGATGGCCACGCTGAAGAAATACAGGGACCTGTGGCACCACACATCTGGTCTGTGTGTGTGGGGAATGTGGGAAAGGGAGGGGGAGAGAGCAGAGAATAATTGTGTGTTAATGCTGATAGCAGCAGGCAGTTACATGAAAACATATACAGCCATGTAGTGTGCAGCTGAAAACAAACACACAGACACACACAAGAAAGACATTAAATAAGATAATTATAGCTAGGTACGGCATAAACACACACAAATACATACACCTACACAAACAAGAGAGACATTACAGCATAACGGTAAAGACACACTCACACACATACATAAATAAGATACACTACAGACATGTACAGTATAGACACACACATACACACATTTACACACACAGGAGACATTACAATAGGTATAGTATAAACAGTCATACACACAAGCACGCACACACCAATATACCCTCAGGCACACATACGTAACACACACATACGTAAGAGTCATTTCATATATATATACATACATACAGCAACAGTATATTATAAACATAACACAGTTCTAAGAGATGCCTTCGTAGTTGTCTTTATTCTCAATTAGAAGTGCGGCTGCCACGTTGTGGTTTACAGCTAGGCTGCTGTAGTTCGGTCCAACATTGTGATCTCAGAAACCTTTTAATTATAATGATATATTTGTGTGTGTTATCTACCACTTTGTGCTGATGTGGTAAAGAAAAAAGTTCTTAAGAACACACAGATGACTTCGCACAAGCGGTCCGTAAAAATACATTTAACACATTATTACCAGCCGAGCTTCGAGACCGCTTTTATTGGTTCGGGGTTTCAACACTGCGGCTAAAAAGCATCCATTGGCATTAAAAAAAAACTGTTTCGACAATTATTTTGTAATAAAAAAGAATACACACAACTGAATTGTACACAGCTATACATAAGTTACACGTCTGTTGTGATGACATATATTACTACAGGTAAACATAAACTACAGGCGTGTAGAGGCAAAACGTAGAACTCTAAGTAAACATAAACTACAGTTGTGTAGAGACGAAACATATAACTCTAGGTAAACATAAACTACAGTTGTGTAGAGACGAAACATATAACTCTAGGTAAACATAAACTACAGTTGTCTAGAGACGAAACATATAACTCTAGGTAAACATAAACTACAGGTGTGTAGAGACGAAACATATAACTCTAGGTAAACATAAACTACAGTTGTGTAGAGACGAAACATATAACTCTAGGTAAACATAAACTACAGGTGTGTAGAGACGAAACACATAACTCTAGGTAAACATAAACTACAGTTGTGTAGAAACGAAACGCATAACTCTAGGTAAACATAAACTACAGTTGTATAGAGACGAAACACATAACTCTAGGTAAACATAAACTACAGGTGTTTAGAGACGAAACATAAAACTCTAGGTAAACATAAACTACAGGTGTGTAGAGACGAAACATATAACTCTAGGTAAACATAAACTACAGTTGTGTAGAGACGGAACATATAACTCTAGGTAAACATAAACTACAGGTGTGTAGAGACAAAACATATAACTCTAGGTAAACATAAACTACAGGTGTGTAGAGACGAAACACATAACTCTAGGTAAACATAAACTACAGTTGTGTAGAGACAAAACATATAACTCTAGGTAAACATAAATTACAGTTGTGTAGAGACGAAACGTATAACTCTAGGTAAACATAAACTACAGTTGTGTAGAGACGAAACATATAACTCTAGGTAAACATAAACTACAGTTGTGTAGAGACGAAACATATAACTCTAGGTAAACATAAACTACAGGTGTGTAGAGACGAAGCAAATAACTCTAGGTAAACATAAACTACAGGTGTATAGAGGCGGAACATAGAACTTTCAGGTAAACATAAACTACAGGTGTTTAGAGACGACACATTTAACTTTAGGTAAACATAAACTACAGGTGTGTAGAGATGAAACACTGAAATTTAGGGAAACATAATTTACTACTGTATAGAGACGAAAGCCAGAAAATATAAATTACAGTTGTTTAGAGAGAAACACAGTACTTAAGATGAACATAAACTACAGTTGTCAAGAGATGACACACCGAATGGTAAACGGTTAACAGGAGTGTTGAGGTGGTATAAGCAATTACAAGTTACCTGCCCTTGACATGGTGAACACAATAAATTATAATCATCATATGACGTGGCGGTGTCCGTGGTTTAGGCATTGCGAGTCCAGCTCGTAATTCCAACTTACCCCGATCAAAACCCACTGCTGGCTGCGTGGATTTTTATCGTGGTATAGGGCGTCGCAGGTCGACCCAGCCTGAAATGGGTACTAGGATGTATGTCATGGGGAAGTGAAGACGGCTGGCGTAATGCTGACCACATTACCCACCTTATGCCGATTGTTCTGTAAACATATGGGTGCTCTTCCCATATTCCCAATGCGGCTTAAGGCGTGAAAAGGGATCTTAACTTTTTACTGTTGTCATATGAGGTCCCGGTAAGCGGAAGCTATCATGTTTCGCCATCACAAATCATCATCAGAATCATGGAATGTTCAATGATTTTGTCTCTCCCCATTCTTCTGGCCATGCCATCCAGGTATTTATCCTTGTGCCCTCCACTTGCTCTCTTTCCCTCACTCTGACCAGTTGTTACCAGGTTCTCAATACCATCCTTTCTCACAACATCTCCCCCAAATAATGAATCTCTAAGTCTAATTGTTCTAATCATATTTACGACTTTCATCTGTCTCAATGAGGTCTGCTTCGTTTTCTGTTTTCTTTTCCTTTCCTTCAAATATATTCTTTGTATTCTTCTCAGAAAGCACATCTCTGCCACAAGAAGTAAATAACACTAAATATTTACCTGAATGGTGTTAATTTGGAAGCCGCTGTGGCGCAGAGGCTAGACGCTTGTGGATCAGAAGGTCGTGGGTTTAGACCTAAGGGCGCCGGACTCTTTAAAAAAATGACCTTGGCTCCCAGGTCGACCCAGCCTCAAATGGATACCAGGTAAAATCCTAGGAAGTAAAGACGGCAGGTGTGATGCTGACCACATCACCCGCCGTATGCCAATTTGTCTATACAATATTGGAATAGCCCTATGTGCAGTCCCTAGCGGCAGATTACTTCAATATGATGCAAATCTTCGAAATGCCCCCTCTGATAGCTTCATACTGCAAGATCAAAAGTTTTAATTGTATTAGGATTTATGCTTATGAGGTCTCCATTGCGGTGCCACCTGATGCGGCCGGATCTCTGTATCATAGCACGGCTAACCATGCCCAAAAGGAAAGATGAAGCGGGAAAGGGTCCTTCACTTTACGATACACACACACACACACACACACACACACACATATATATATATATATATATATATATATATATATATATATATATATATATATATATATATATATATATATATATATATACACACATATGCATATACATAAACATATTATGTAACACAGGTCTAGTGATGACACGATACAATACCTGTGCAATAGAGGTTCAAAACGAGGCTTCCAGATACGGAGAACCCAAACAGAACCCAGGACATTCCAGGCAATCAGAAACAAGGACAGCGCAGAGTTGATGCTCCTGTATGTTTTAGATTGAACAACTCTGTCGTCGTCGACTTCGCCGGCCAGGTTGTCAACGCTTCCCATATGTCGGTTCTAGACGAGAGGTTAGAACAACGTGAGAATACGTGATGCAGTAACAATTATTAACACAACGTGAGAACACGTGGCGCAGTAACAATCATACATACAAAGTGAGAACACGTTGTGCAGTAACAATCAAACATACAACGTGAGAAGACGTCGTGCAGTAACAACAACACACAGAATATGAAAATACATGGTGTAGTAACAATCACACATACAACATGACAACGTGGTGCAGTAACAATCATACATACAACGTGAGAATACGTTGTGCAGTAACAAGCATACATACAACGTGAGAACACGTTGTGCAGTAACAAGCATACATACAACGTGAGAACACGTTGTGCAGTAACAAGCATACATACAACGTGAGAACACGTTGTGCAGTAACAATCAAACATACAACGTGAGAAGACGTCGTGCAGTAACAACAACACACAGAATATGAAAACACATGGTGTAGTAACAATCACACATACAACATGACAACGTGGCGCAGTAACAATCATACATACAACGTGAGAACACGTTGTGCAGTAACAAGCATACATACAACGTGAGAACACGTTGTGCAGTAACAAGCATACATACAACGTGAGAACACGTTGTGCAGTAACAATCAAACATACAACGTGAGAAGACGTCGTGCAGTAACAACAACACACAGAATATGAAAACACATGGTGTAGTAACAATCACACATACAACATGACAACGTGGCGCAGTAACAATCATACATACAACGTGAGAACACGTTGTGCAGTAACAAGCATACATACAACGTGAGAACACGTTGTGCAGTAACAAGCATACATACAACGTGAGAACACGTTGTGCAGTAACAATCAAACATACAACGTGAGAAGACGTCGTGCAGTAACAACAACACACAGAATATGAAAACACATGGTGTAGTAACAATCACACATACAACATGACAACGTGCTGCAGTAACAATCATATACACAATGTGAGAACATGTGGTAAAGTAAAACATTACACACAATGTGAGAACATGTGGTAAAGTAAAACATTACACACAGTGTGAGATCACGGGATGAAGTAACAGTTATACACAGAATGTGAGAACACGTGGTATAGTAACAATCATACACACCCTGTAAGAACATGTGATACACTAATTATAATTCACATAATCATAGAAACAAGTGGTTCTGAAACAATAAAACACAAAACGTGAGAACACGTAGTGTAATAACAATCGTAGACACAATGTGAGATCAGGTGGTGAAGTAACAATCATACACACAATATATTCCCTAACGCCATCTTCCACACACGTGAAGCATTCTATTGTACCAGCCGCAATGTCATTTATGCCATCAACTGCAAGAGATGGGGCATAAAATACATTGGTGAAACAGGTCTACGGTTGACCGACAGGTTCAGACATCTTTTGGATGTGCAAAATGGTGCTCTGAAACCAGTACCGTTGGACTTCAATTCCCAGGATCACCAAGGTGTCCTCGACATGGAGGTGACAGCCATTAAATCTAGCCATTCTAGCGACAGAGTCCACAAATCTCTTGAGAATCGCTTTATTTATACTCTGGGGACTTTGACACCCTCCGGACTGAATTTCCAACACAGTCTCATTTAAACTCCAAGGGGATTGAACTGCCTTCCCAGTTTCAACCTCAACACCCCAATTATGGCCCCTGGGACTCCATAGGGGGTATTAATTCCTCCAGCCTACACGTGCAGTCATTCTGCTGAGTAACCACCGACCCGGCTGCATCGAGATACCAATTAAGTAACTTTTGAGTATCTATGGAGTATTGTTTAATTTGTATGTGCCGATGAAGGCTCAATAGCCGTAACGTTCACGTTTTGTTTGTATTTCTTATATTGTAAAGCGTGCAAAAATACTTTTCGTTCGGTTTCATATCTTTGCTTGATAAATCTAAAAAGACATTATTCAGTTACAAACATAATACTGAGTGGGAACATGTGATACACTAGTAATCATCTACTCAGTGAGAGGACACGTGATACACAATCATACACACAATAAGAAAACACTCAGGTCTATTCTTTTCTTTGAAAAAAAAAAAAAAAATAACTAGAGCTCCTATCTTACCCTATATTTAACTGCTGGGCGTCGCTGGTTTTAATCTTCTGTCCTCTAATTCATCTTTGTCTCTGCCGATGTATTATGTTGAATTATTGCCCCTAAGTCGACGTCTGTGGCTATGGTGTTGCCAACGCGCTTCAAAATGCCGGGGTGCTGAGTTCGATTCCAGCCGCCCGGAAGCAACGGCAAACTACTGGAAGTAAATTTGTCTAGAAAAAACGCAACAGCCAAAATATGCTGGCTCTGATTTTGCAATGTCCTGTTAAGGATACGCACCTGACAGGATCTGAACCCACAACCTTCGGATCCGCAGGTGATCGTCTAACCGCTACATCACGGCAAATAACATAGGACTATAGCAAATATATCATTGACGTTACAATGAATCTTAGATTCAATATCAGGGGACAACTATCAGAAAGGAATCCAATCACAAAAGCTGAAAAGGAAGACAACTCACCTGGACATACTTGCCGAGCACCACAAGTATCTTCACAATGCCGAAACAGCCTCCAACAATGAGGAAGATGGGTATCTTTGTCTCGAGGGGACACTCGTCTAAGTACTTGACACCTGCACAGGTAAAAGCAGGGATAAAACATACGGTGCTTTACATTAGAGAGCATGATAATCTACTGTTGTATGCATATCAGACAGGTGTGTGTGTGTGTGTGTGTGTGTGTGTGTGTGTGTGTGTGTGTGTGTGTGTGTGTGTGCTGTCCATCAGGATGATAATGACCACTTTTTTCCATTAAGTATGAGTACGAGTATGACCGATGAGGTCGATGTGGGCCCGAAAAGTTCTTGACAGTGAGGACAGGAAATGAGGGTTGTGCCAGGGAGGGGATCTCCTGCAGTCGCCCTTCTGTCCATCCTTTTCTTAATCAGTCTTGCTGTTCTGTTTGCTTCACATGTAGCCGCGCCCTTGTGTAGAGTTGCACGCCATGCATTTCCGTCTTGAGAGGCAGCCTCCAATTGGTGTCATTGTTGTGTGAAGACTTTAAGGTGTCCTCAAAGCGTTTCTTATGCCCGCATTGGGAACGTTTCCCACATAGCAGAAAAGTTATAGATAGGTGAACACCGGGTAAACAGCAGGATGTATTGACACAAGTTAAAAATGACGGAAATGTACTGTGTTATGCCTACTTTGCAGTTAGACAGTTGTACGCCAGGTAAACACCAGGATGTGTTGACACAATTAGACATACAAATAATATTAGCAGTGAGGTATTCGTGACCTCTATGAAATCCATAATTAAAAGTTTCTGTAGACTTGTTGTCAACACGAATTGCGCCAAACACTGACAACAAACTAGCTATTTATTGGTTGATGATGTGGTTCACCGATTTCGTAGTAATATTGATAGTCGAAGAAAGACAAAAACAGAAATTAGACAGGCGCTGCCAAGGTGTCACTAGGCAGCTTTTAACAGATTAAACAAAATATGTGACTAAATTATATCGTTTTTGAACCAAGTTACGTATGTTCAATTCTAATGCTGTTTTAGTTTTAGCATTGTCTGCGAAAGGTAAATGTCCATTTTCCACGCTTTTAAGCGAATTGGGAATATAGGGCTAGACCTATATTTTTATAGACAAACCGGCACTGTTGGGTGATGTGGTGAGCTTCATCATACCGGCCGCCTTTACTTTCATGTACTGTACCTGGTACCCACTCAAGGCTGGGTCGACCTAGGGGTCAATGCCATTTAAAAAAAAAAGTGTCAGTGATAGGTGGAGAACCACCAACGATATTTAACGCTAATTAAATGATTAGAAAACAAATGCATAGTAAGGAAGATGATGAACGTAAAATAGGATGAATTTAAGAGAGGTCGCCTAAGACCCTCGAAAAACACACATTCACTGAAGTTATGAATAGGCAAAGAAAATAATTGGGGGTCATCACAACACAAGGAACAGTATTAGAGGGTCGCGACATTAAGAAGGTTGAGAACCCCTGTCCTAGAGGAAGAAAACGACTTCTGTAATATCAGTGTGTTACGGACACTATTAGTATCTAGACTTTAAGACGTTTGCTGCTGAAGGGTATGTCCGTTGTGCTACGATGTCGTTCCTAATCAGTTGTGAGTGAAGCCGAAAGTGGTGGGTTGGATTTCATCGATGATTTAAGGGCTGGGATTTTTCCACGTGCACTTGGACTTCTAGTGGTTCCCCCTGGTCTCTGGGTAGTGAGATTGGACGCCCGTGTGCATTGTTGCACACGTAAAAAATCCCTTGGCAGTTGAAAATCGAAAAGAGTAAACTAACAGCCCTGCCCGGGCAAAATTTGGAGTTAATCTACCCAAAGTATTTCAGGATCCTTACCGGTGCTACAGAGCCCGTGCACTGTGCTGAGCTTCTTCGGACTCAGACTTGAGTTAGAAGAAGAACGGAACACTGATGGGTGCACCCGTGTGTCATGATGTTGATTCGTTGTTCAAAACCTCAAACCTGCATAAACTATTTATATACGTACTTGGCTTACATGCCTACTATATGCATAATTTACCTATAAGCTTTCTCAAACTACCTTCTTAACTATATAATTATCTGCTTACTATCTTAAAAGCTACTCACATAACCGGCTACGTAACTACAAGTGCACTTACTTATACTATCTATACAAATATGTACATGTCTACATATCTGAAATCATTGCCAACCTTGTCTGCTAACTGACCCTGAATTAAATGTTTGTCGAAGCGAAGGTAATTCTGTCTGTCTTCCGCTCGGCTAATAAATATTTCACCTAGTCCGTTCAATTGTCTGTCACCTGATATGTTCATCCGTCTGTACTCTAGTGAGGGTTATTTAGTTGATCTTTCGCTCCGAATTGATTAGATCTTCCCTCAAGCGTGGAATTATTCTCTAACAATAACACTCTTTCACAATGCCTTCCCCCTCTCTTTCTGATCTCCTCTCTCCCTGTTCCCGTCTCTCCCTCTCTGTATCACTTTTCTGTTTGTTTCCATTCCCTCTCCTCTCAGCCCCCTCCGATTTCCTTTACGTCAACTGTCTATTAATCTTTCTTTTTCTCAGCCATCCCTTCTGTCCTACGCTATCTTATGGGCCTCATCTTTTCATTCTTTATTAACCTCTTTTTCCCTTCCTCCCTCTAGTTCAATTTTAATTTATATCTTCCCTCTCTAGCTCTACTTCTATTTCTTCCTCCCTTTCCCTCTATCTATAAAATCTTTATCTCTCGATATCTCTCCTCTCATCTTCTCTTCTCTCTATTCTCTATCTCTCTCTTTCTCAGTTCTCCCCTTTATATTTCCTACATAACCCTTCACACTGAGTCAGGAGAAGACAAAAGGCCCAGGTTTCCGCCCCAACGGTCAACATTGATCCTGAAATAAGGTTTTGATACAAACGCCCTATGGAGTGATTCTAGCATCTCCGCCTGATTATCCACCCCATCCCCCAATTGGCTGCCCCGCCCTGGTCGATTATCTGCTCCCTGCTTACCTGCTACTGCTTCTAGTGTTCCCTATAGATCACCTTAAACATGGCCCCACTTCCAGGGTAAGCCACGTGGTTCCGGAACGCAGTGGTGTTTTTTTGTGTGGAGCTCCCCCCCCCACCCCCGCACCCACTTCCTTTTTTCTCACCAGGGGATGTGGGTTCTGATCATATACACCAAGACACTGTTCGCTTACCAAAGTTAGATATGGGAGGTAAAGGCTTCTGGTGTGATATTGACTACATCGTACCAATTTAGCGTCAATCGGCCTGTTCAAATTAGACGTGTCAGTGGCGTGAAAACTGTACTTTACGACTCCTTATACTTGTAGTTACTGTTTGCATTCACAGAATATGTCTAGTTTAGGAGATATGTCTAGTTGAGGAGATGTGTCCAGTTGAGGAGATGTGTCCAGTTGAGGAGATGTGTCCAGTTGTGGAGATGTGTCCAGTTGAGGAGATGTGTCCAGATCAGGTGATTTATCCAGTTGAGGAGATGTGTCCAGTTAAGGAGGTGTGCCCAGTTGAGAAGAAGTGTTCAGTTGAGGAGATATGTCCAGCTGAGGAAATGTGTCCAGTGGAGGGGATGTGTCCAGTTGAGGAGAAGTGTCCAGTTGAGGAGATGTGTGCAGTTGAGGAGATGTGATCAGTTCAGGGTATGTGGCCAGTTTACTCAGTGTGTCCGGTTTCGTGGATGTGCAGTGTTCAAGGGATGTGTCAGTTTGGTAGATGTGTCCAGTTCGGTGGATGTGTCCAGTCCAGGGGAAGAGCCCAGTCAATAGGATGTTTCTAGTCCAGAGGATGTGTCTAGTTTGGTGGATAGGTCCAATATTGTGGATGTGTCCAGTTTGGTGGATGTTTCCATTTCAGGGGTTGTGTCCAGTTCAGGGGTTGTGTCCAGTTTGGGGGAAGTGTCCAGTTCAGGGAATGTGTCCAGTTTGATGGATGTGTCCAGTTTTGTGGATGTGTCCAGTATGGGGGATGTGTCCAGTATGGGGGATGTGTCCAGTCTGGGGGATATGTCCAGTCAGGGGAATGTGTCCAGTCCAGTGGATATGTCCAGTCCAGGGGATGTGTCTAGTCCAGGGGATGTATCCATCTGTGATAATGTTGGTTGACAAAGTATAACACGCAACTGCGCGTGTACCGTTTATCGCTGACTAGAAAAACAAGAGGCGGACAGGAATACGACAAAACCAACGGTAGTCACAGAGAGCATACAAGCAGGACAAGAGAAGATTTCGAGATCCATTGCTGCCAACCTTGATTGAGAAGATGGCACCTGACAGTTTAATGTTAAAAAGACAGCAACAGTCATGCCGTCTATATGGGAGTTTCATCAAACACAGTCATGATGATTAGAATAAAGACATAACAAATGTAATTATGACGTTCACAAAGAATAATTACTGAATACAATTATGTTGCCCACAAAGAACACTTACTGAAAAAAGTCACGAGTTCTGCAAAGAACACATGCTGAATACAGTCATGCTGTCCACAAACAACACTTACCGAATGCAATCACGAGGTCTACAAATAACACTTAATGAATACACAAATGACGTTCACAAACAGAACTTACGGAAAACAGTCAAAACGTCCACGTTGAGATTGTACAATCATGACGTCGATAAAACACACCGACCGACACAAGTGCCATCATGCGGATGAGGATCACCGTGGAGAGGTCGCAGAGCCCGCGTTATACCTGCCCATAATGATGGAAGGCCTAAGCACAGTTAGGCCTTGTGGCGGCCCCTGGCAAAAGCCAGAGTGGGGCTTCAAATAACAAAAAATAACGTCCTAAGAAGGACGTAAGGACATTAATATAACTTACTGAAAACAGTCACAACGTCCACGTTGAGATTGTACAATCATGACGTTTTTATAACGCACTTACCGAACACAATCATGACGATAGGAACAATCAAGGTCGCAGCCACGATACCTGCCACTTACTGTTGCCCTCATGAAAGCATTAGTTAGGCATTGTGTTTAGATGCTCTCATGTCTCGTTTTTTTGACCACTGTGTTTACTCGCTGACAGATATGTCACATTTTACTTGATTACTTCCCTTTCCCCTACCTAAGTTGTGTTTTATTGTATCACTGCCCTTACTGTTGCCCTCATGTCCCGTTTTAGTGGACCACTGTCCTTACTGTTGCCCTCATGTCCCGTTTTAGTGGACCACTGTCCTTACTGTTGCCCTCATGTCCCGTTTTAGTGGACCACTGTCCTTACTGTTGCCCTCATGTCCCGTTTTAGTGGACCACTGCCCTTACTGTTGCCCTCATGTCTCGTTTTACTGTATTACTGCCTTTACTGTTGTTCTCATGTCCTGTTTTAGTGGATCACTTCCCTTAGTGCTACCCTCATGTCCCGTTTTAGTGGACCACTACCCTTACTGCTACCCTCATGTCCCGTTTTACTGTATCACTGCCCTTACTGTTGTTCTCATGTCCTGTTTTAGTGGATCACTTTCCTCACTGTTACCCTCATGTCCTGTTTTACTGTATCACTTCCCTTACTGCTGCCGTCAGATCCCGTTTTACTGGATCAACTCTCGTGTCTTGAAGGCTCAGGTACATACATGGAGCAGTGAGTTCTTTAATTCTGCCCTCTCATGTTAAGTTTCGAAAGTTCAGGTACACCTACATGGACCAATGAGTTCTCTAATTCTGCAATCTCATGACTTGTCTTCAAGGCTCAGGTACTCATACATAGACCAGTGAGTTCTCTAATTCTACCCTCTCATGACTCTTGTCTTCAATGCTCAGGTACTCATACATAGACCAATGAGTTCTCTAATTCTGCTCTCTCATGACTCTTGACTGCAAAGCTCAGGTACTCCTATCTGGACCAGTAAGAGCTCTTATTCTGTTTTCTAATGCCTGGTGTCTTCAATGCGCAGGTACACAATAAACCCGTGAATTCTATAATTCTGTTCTCTCATCTCTCATCTCTCAGGTACACCAATATGGACTAGTGAGTCCTCTAATTCTGTTCTCTCATGTCTAGTGTTAGTGTCTTCAACGCTCCTGTACAGTTAGATTCACCAATGAGGTATGTAATTCTGTCTTCTTTTATCTCGTGTCATCAGGACTCAGGTACACCTGTGTGGTCCAGTGAGTCCTCTAATTCTGT